GTAAACAAACAAAGGAATTAATACCATTGAATGACTCCCCACCGGAAATCATCCGAAAATATATGAAGAACTATAGAGAAAATAAGATTAGCGATAAAAATGACGAAAATAATATAGAGTTCAAAGCCTCTGCAGCACTGCTGTCAGAGGCCTTATAGAGAATTCTCAGTGACGCTAGAATTAGTCAGGGTGGCATTTTAACCAAACAAATCTCTCAGAGATAAACTTTGTCGGCTTAAGGACCCAATTGATCCAATAATGAAATATATTATATTTTACCAAATAGCGTTCCATGACTCTGAGGTTAATTACATAGGCCAAAGTAGTAGACCGGGGTCAACTAGATTATTGAAACGTACAAATTTATTTCGACCTAGAATGACTGACCCTGCCAAGTTGAAAAAACCTAGAAGGAAGCTCAATCATTGCACTGCATTCATTTGAATATAATCACAAAATAGGGTGGGATAGGGTGAGAGTATAAAAAAGTAATATAGTTAGGTGCAGAGAGACGTTAATCAGTGAGGCTCTGTCTGGCGATTTAACACCTCACACATGCAATGGAAATGACGCAACATCTATACCTGGGATATGGAAAGTGACAACAAGCAAAAAAGGGAAGTTGGAGAGACAGAAAGAGAGGCGTTATATATAAGACAAATTGTGAAACCGTGTAACTAAAATTGATATGATTATAAGCAGTAATTTATTCTCGAAACGTCATCCAGTTGTTAATACTGCTTCACTGTGTGATAGTTATATAAATTTATCTAATCTAAAAGAAGCATTGAATCTTACTTTTAAAACAAGAATATGAACTTTTGATTCAATGCGAGTTTACTTGTCTCATACAAAACAACCATTGGTTCATAAGTCCATGTGAAATTACCTAAAATACAATTTATGTATGTTTAAGAAATTATAAACATTCTTACATCCTTTAAAATGTGTTATTTTATCTCATTCAACCTGTGATTGACATATCAGTTTAGTGTGTAAAATCAGTACATGCAGTCTTCAGATGATGTCATTTACGTCTATTACAACTTCTGATAGTCATTTCCAATAGTTTTACAGGTCAGTAGAATGCACTATTCCAGTATAAAATAATCACCACATTGATAACGCATTGTTGTTTACATCTTCAGTAAATATCACATCACCCACGTTTAACACGGTGTTATTTTCTCCATAAAAGCATGAAAGTTTGGTTCTGTACTTAGTTCACGCACCTCTGTTGTTTAGATAAAGGTTTTTGTTTTAGCAATTTCTTGTTTTGTGCTAATATCAAAGGTAATCGCACAATTTGACAGTTGCTCACTCAGTTTTAGTTTCTGTCTTTCTAGTAGTCGTATAGGTGGCATGATTAATTTACAGAGATTTAAACAGCTGTTGAGTAATTATAATTTTTCACATTCTCACTTTATTCGATAAACTAAGCATCATTTATAGATGTCACACCACTTCTTAATGTATCCATTTTATTGTATAGTTCTCATTTATTGCGTGTCATGTTATACTCAAAGTTTTCTTTAAATTTCTAATCTCAATAGATTCCATTAATCTAGATTTTGAACAAAGCAAGAACAACAGCTCTCGCAGAATAAAGTGGTACCATCATTTATTTCGTTGCCTTCTCATCAGCTGCTTACAGACCAAAGTCATTATTAAGTATACTTACTGAGACAAATTTAACATACTTGCACAGAGTTCATTTTAAACAAGAATCAATCAGTCTCCTGAAACCTGATTTGTGCGTTCAAAAATAAACAGTTATCAGTTTTACTTTACCCTGATAATTGGATATTTTCATCTCTCTTTCACCTGATTACGTAATGCCGAAATTTTCCATTGTGTATGATCATTACTGTTCGGAATAGTGTCTAGTATTACATCTGTATGTATATTATTACATATATATTACATCTACTGATTGACTGATTTTTCAAAAGAATGGATACTGAACAAAGAATACTCTTTTCGATAACTTCATCATCAGGCACTGCAGTTATATATACATTATGGTGAATGAATGAATTAGTGTTATGAACAACATTAATGTTGTTTAAATAACATCGAATCAATAATATCAGTAGATTACTGCTTAATAACATCAACATAAAATAAGCTGAATGTCAGCAAAACTAGGAAAGATAATATTACAAATTCATGAGTTTTTAGTTTCTACTGAAGGTCAGGGCAGTAGCAGGGGGTGGACTTGCTTCTTTTGAACACAAAGCCCTGGTTGTTTGAGGCGGATTGCAATAGCCTCTGCTGTTTGCAGCATGCGGCGCTTCGATGATTTTTGTTTAAAATGAACTCTGTGCAAGTATGTTAAATTTGTTTCAGTAGGTATACTTAATAATGACTTTGGTCTGTAAGCAGCTGATGAGAAGGCAACGAAATAAATGATGGTACCACTTTATTCTGCAAAAACTCTTGTTCTTGCTTTATTCGAATTCATTAAGGGGGATAAATGTATGAAATCCAGAATTTGAAAATGTTTTTTTCCTCAACTTACTGCTAACCACTGCTTGGTGCTGTACAAATTGCATTATCACTTAAAAGTTCATATAAGATTTCTTAGCTAACATATTTATTTTCCCATGTAAATTTATATGCTGCCTTCTGAGATAATAACATAAACAAAGTATCCGATACATTTAACTTGGTGTATCCTGTAACTTACTAAATACTTAGGTGCAGGGTTACCAAAATGGTTTTTAAGTAACTCGATATCAGGATTTCGTTATGAGCTGACATCGGTTAAAGAACCATTGGAAAACTTGGGAATCCTGTACAGCTATTTCGTCCTAGTTTGGGACTCTTCTTTAGGACGCACTTGCCGCGATTCGAACACAGAACCTTCTGGTTATAAGGTGTACTTGCAGACAATTAAGCCTCTAGGACTTGATCCAATGGTGCACGAGTTCCAACTTATGCTAATTCACGATGTACCACAACCACTAGTCAATATCATCGGGGAGTATTTGTCCTCACAGTGAACCTACTGTACCCCACTGGTCACTACTAGGACGGAATAGCTATCCAGTACTACCAGGTTTCCCAATGGTTCTCTAACCGATGTCAGCTCATGACGAAATCCTGAAACCAGTCAAATCCCTACAAACCAAAACTTGAATATTAACTGATAAAATGAGATTACCTGTTATTAAACTATAAGATGAAGACCCTAATGTCTAAAACTTCTTATTAAACTACTTATTCTGAGAATCAACACAATCAACTCTTTTCCGTTGTTTTTAATCTCAGAAATAAATAAAAGTTTCTAGAAGCAATAAATGACTCATATTTTTAAATATTTAATAAATAATGAATTACTCAACACGGTGTATAATCTGATTTATTCATCCATCCAGCCATGTCATATCAGTGACTAATTATCTTCAACTACTCACTGTCTAACTTCTCTTTTATCTTAATCTGTAAATTATTTCTATATATTGTATATCTGTGGCAGCAAAACTATTTGTATAAGTTTTAAACGAAAACAGTTCACAGATAATTGCACAGAAAATAGTGAGTATTATTTTATCAGGTATTTTAATCGGTGATATTACTTTCTAAACATATTTTTATTTTTTTTTATTTTTGATTACATACTCACAAAGTTACCTTGCATTCACTCAATTATCTGGACGGCTTGAGTAAATGCATGATTAGAAAATGAAAATTCCTAGAAAAGTCCGAATTAAAAGCAATGAGCATTCTTTAGTGTGTGTTTAAAGTTAGATTAATCTACAGACTTTATTCTGATTACTATCAGTTAGGCACTGACTGGGTAGAGAAGACTAGCAAAACTGAAAGTAACAATGACCAAAGAGTGATAAACGTACTTACCATCCTATATCCATTAATGGATTCATGAAAATGTTCAGTTAAATAGGTTTCCTTCAGAATTAACTTTTATTAAGTGTTATTTTATATTGACTATATACAGGCAAATTAATCCTCAACTTAACCAACACGTACGAAATACCTGTGGTATACAAACTCTTAACTGCTGCAGATGAAAGAAATCAAAGCAAGCTTTCCGGAGGAGTAGTTATGTCACAGTAAAAAGTCAGAGTATTTACGCAGTTTCTGATTATATATATATATATGTGTGTAAAGTAAAATGAACGTTCCTCTGTTTTGCTGACCAACTGGAAATCCTTAATTAATCAATATAAAAAGTAGGATGTACAAAGATAGAATGAAGATAAGAGCTGAAAATTCACATTATCTAATGTCAGATGAGACTAGGGTTTGTTCCTTTGTATTCTATGAAATCAACTTTCTGTGTCTTACCATATTCTAACACTAGTGTTAACATATTTGTATTTTGAAGTCAATTGGTGGATGGTGACTGGCAGTGGAATCCAGAATGTGTATTTTTCCTATTTGGGACTAGCCACCGAGATGTACCTGCATTCCCCAGTGAGTGATGGTGTTCTCACCGAGGCTCAAACGCAGTACCCATAGTTTTAAACTCCACTAGATCACTTGAGTCACAAGAGGCACCTCTTGTTGAATGGGTCTTATTAATTATTTGATTCAATTTAGATTTTCCCGTCGATTTCACACAAGGCGGTTCTTGCAGTCTAGTGGATAACGCTTTGGAGTTTGAAACTATGGGCACTGTGTTTGAGCCTCGGTGGCAACATCATCACTCACTGGAGAATATAGGTACGTGCAGATGACTAGTCTCAAATAGGACGGAATGCGCATTGTCGACTCCACTGCTAGTCACCATCCATCAATTTACTTCAGATTACATGACCAGATATTGTCTAAGCATCTGCGCAAGGAGACAACACGTCAACTTGAGACCGAGCACTTTCGTCCAATCAATCAACGAGAAAATCTAAACTGGATTAAATATTTGTATTTCAACAGAAACACTTTTTTAAAAAGGTGTAGTTTTCTATATAATCTAGAAATATACTTGAAATACAAGCATAATAAAAGTTTTCTCTTAAAATTTGTATTGACGACAGGTTGTTCAACCAACGAATGTAAAACTAATCGATACATATCTAATCAAAGGACCCTCTGGATTCGGATTAACACTAACTGGAGTATTAACTTTTATTCCCAATGGAATGTTAGATGTTCATATTGTCTCAGATCAATTTAATACACAAGATGGTTTCTTTCAACGTCTATTACAAATACGCAGTGTAAGTGATGACGTCATTACATGTGATAATGACTTAATCCAATCACACACAAAACAACCAGTTATACGACCAGGTGATATATTACTCGCAGCTGGTGGTTATCGTTTTGCTGGTTGTACACCTGAATATGCTGTACAGTTATTATCCAGAATTCCAACTGGGGGTATAGTTCAAGTCACTTTACTTAGAGGCTTGAGTATACCTACTTACCAATGTGCAAATGAAATGAATTATTATAGATATCATTCGCATGGGCCAAGATCTTCTAGTCTATGCTCGTCAGTAAGCAGTTCCTCCGAAGTATCACCAAACAAAACAAATTCAGATCACGAAGCTCAGAACAAGTCAAATTTCGTACAATCACATCTAAAAAATGTGAGTTATTTATTGTTTATTTAGAATATTATTATTGTTCCCCACCCAGTAGCTTAATGGTCTATGAGCTCGCCTCGTAGCCAGAAGGTTCTGGGTTCGAACCTCAGTGAGTGCGTACTGATGAAGAGTCCCAAACTATGACAAAACAACTGTCCAGTACTCTCAGCTGGTTTTCCAATGGTTCTCTAACTGATGTCAACCCATAATGAAATCCTCCAATTAACTCCATCATTGTCTAATGAGACTGGACATCTTCCTCTATCACCAAATGGAATTGTCCGAAACAAAAAATTTACGTTCTAGGATATGAAATTTCACAATGGTTATATGCGTCAAACGCCATTCTTTATGCTGCCCTGAAACCTTTTAAATGCTATGTGTAATATCTAGTAGAATGGATGAAAGCCACTTAAATAATACACTAATTCGTAGACATTTTTAATTCGATCCATATCAAAAAATTATTACAATTCAAGATGTGTTCGAACTATAATGGAAATCAGCTGTTCAAAAACAGTATTTCGTTTAATCTTGTAAAGCAACCTTATATGAGTTAGGACTGAAAAGGGAGAAAGTGATTGCTTAAAACAGCGTAGAAAACATTAGCAAATTGTTAATGTCTTTTTTTCTTTCCTTCAAGTTCCCAGTGGAACAAAGGGCCTCAGGCTACAAGGCTTGAAGTTTCTGTAGCAGTGTTTATTTTACAGGGGGTTGCTGGCCTCATGCCCAACCTTTTCTCTTCACCAGCATTATTTCTGGCTTAGCGAGGTGAAGGAGTGCGTCGGCCGGGGGTCGAACCCCAGACCATGTGCATGCTTGGCGAGCGTCCTAACCACTGTGCCACCGAAGTGTTTCTTATTTTCTGATAATTGTAAATTCTCACTTTTTATTTCGTAAGATTGAACACTTAGAATCGCATTGGATGCTTAGTACTCTCTTTAATTTTATGTTGGCTTGCAGAAGAACTGGTGATACATAAGATCCTCACTATAAACTTATTAACTGTATTGACACTGTGAATCAAACTCAAATCAGATGATTCCAAATCCCATAAAGAGCTATTGAGTCACTGAGGTCAGCACTGTGATTTTCTGTTGACGGTGATTTAAATGCCAACTAAACGGAACAAAACAAAAGTGACTTATTCCGTTTCTAAACACTCCCACGAAAGGAAGTGGTACGCCTCCCTAATTTTAGTGCCAGACATCTTGAAAATGATCTAAACACGTAGGATTAGAATAATTTTATATTCAGGAAGTTACATGTATACTAAAAATAACTTATTATCACTATTATTCATTCTTTAGGTCCCAAGTGGAACGCTGTACATCAGGGACACAGGTAAGACAGATACTTGGGAGCAGTCGACACGAAATTTAGTCTATCAATGAAAACTTTTAAAATTTCATTCCTTTGCCTTCCGAGTGGAACATAGGGCTTAAGGCTTCAGCTTCGAAGTTTCAATAGGAGGGGTCTTTATTTTTTATAAAGTTGGGTTGCTAGCCTCACACGCAACCTTCCCACGTGTGTGGTTGGCGAGTATAAATCAAATTACCCCCGATATATATATTTATTGATTAGTATACTAAATCAGATTGAGGATAACAGAAATCCACCAAATATATCGTTCTGATTAATAAGGATTAGTGAAATAAAAACCATGTCTTTTCACAGCTTGTCCAAGTTGAATGTACAATTTAGAAAATTTTCACTGTCTATTTTCATTTCTTTTTTAAACCGGAAATGAAGATTTATGTGGTTTTTTTCTTGTGACACATGATATAAATGAAATTAACTGAATTTCCACCACTTAAATCACTTTATGAATAAAATATATCTTAACAAACGAGCTGAGCTTCGAAAAAATTGGCTAACCACTGTAGAGAGCGTAGGATCTCACGTAGATAAACATATTTTTATTATTTGAATAAATGAATAAATAACATAAATAACTAGTCAGATTTATATATACATGCCTACGTTCTTTCCTGTAATATAAAGCACTAATAAACCTTCTTTGTGATTATGCTTCGTGTTATTGGGTAAATCCTTCTGATAGACAGTGACATATTATCTCCTAATTGGTGTAAATTTTGATGAGCCTGCATAAAATTGTCACAGAAAACTCACTTATTTGTAGACTTCTATTAAATATGAATCAATCAAAATTGGAAAAACTGTTGAAGAACTAGAAGCACAACTGAATACTTCAAAGCTAAGGCAGTACAACTACTCATTGTTTACTGAATTTTCATTGTTCGCTTACCTGACATCAGATTGCGGTAGAACTCAACATGAATTCGGTAAAATATTCCACAAATGTCAACTACTAAACTCGTTTTAACCAAAAACGAGAATCTGTTGTATAGAATCAGAATATTTACTGTCTTGAAGAATGAATGTAAATTATTCTGAATGTTTTGCTTATCTTCATCGTTTCTTTACGTCAAAGTATAAATGATAATGGAAAATTCACTTTAACAGGCAGAAAGGCTATTAAATTTTTTAAACGCACATTTATGTTTCTCATTTTCTAAACACCAGTCATAAATACAAAAATTTCTAACAGTAAAGTTACGTTGTCAGTCATCCCTATCTGTCTCTTCATTCACTCTAATGAAGAAAACCTTTCTTAATTGGTGAATACGTATTAACGGCAGTCTGTAATCCAGAAATCTGGAAATACAAGCACTGAATCACAGACTCTTCAATGTAGCTGAATTAAAGAGATGCAGCAGAATAAATGCCGAAGATGAGCCAAAATTCAATATGTAGTATCGGTCTGTTCTTAGTGTAAAATAAGAAGGTGAAGTGCATTGCTTTAAGGATTTTAAACATAATAATAATAATACCTTTATTCCAAAAAAACAGTACTAATGATACAGCAGGGAATTTTCAGCATTCAGTACAATATTGCATCTAATTTACTCAAAAACGACAAAAAAATTAAAAATACACATTACATAATAGTAATAAAACGATTGTTACAGCAACTACATGCAAAATACTGTATGCCATACGGAGAAAAATATGCATAAAGTACAAAATTGTAGTAATAATAGTAATACCAACTAAAATAAAATAGCAGAGTAATAATTAAACGATAGAAAGTGTGACACCATAAAATACAGAAAGATGAACGATGAAAGGGTCGATTCACTGTGCTAATTACATAGTAACTTATGAGTTTCACGTCTAACAGAGTCTTCGTCACATAAAGTACGGGCTAAATAGGGTATTGTAGAATTTCTATACTTAGTGGTACGAGCATATAACTTTTTATATTGACTTCTCGTCCTACCTGATGAGATACAAGGGGACAGGTGTGAATAAAGGGGGTGCAGAGGGTCTGACAGTATAGCCTTTGCCCATTTCGTACAGGAATTTATATGCCTCTCGACTATAGTATTAGCGAGCTCATGCAGTGGCAGACCACAAGCTCTACTCACAGCATTTAATACTCTTCGTAATATGATATAATCTTTTTTGAGAAGCCCAGGAAAGATTAATGGAGAGCAATAGAGTACAATAGGTAAAATACAGGAGTTTAAAAATTGCAAAACTAAAGGTTGGTTGATACCTGATTGTCTTAACTTTTTAATGTAGAAGGTAAGACGAAACATTTTCTTAGAGATAGATAAGATGTGGGATGACCATGAAAGGTCAGAGGAAAGAACTAATCCAAGGTATTTAATGCTTGATTTGGTTTCAATTTCCGTGCCATCTATGCTACAGGGATCATGCGAACTAACTAGTTCAAGTAAGTCACGTCGATGCTTGAAAGTAAAGTCAATGCCTGACATTTGGAAGGATTTAATATAAGACCATTTGACTTGGACCAGTTGTTGATGTCCAACAGAAAGCTATTAAGTTTGGAGCTGTCAGACTCGGAAGTGATAGGCAGTGATACAGTCAGATCATCTGCATATTTGACAAAGTTAGTTTCGTTTGAATGAGGCAGGTCATGTAGGAAGAAAGAAAAAAGAAAAGGAGAGAGGACAGCACCTTGTGGAACACCGGATTTTGTAAGCGAGGTAGAAGAAGATTTGCCGTTATATACAGTATACTGCATTCTATCAGAAAAATAGGAATGCAACCAACTCTTAGCCCAGGATCCTGTTTGTGTCAACGATAGCTTATTTAATAAAAGGCCCCTAGGTACAGAGTCAAAAGCAGATGTGTAGTCTAAGAAAGCACTACGAACATATTTAGCACCTTTGTCTAAACAAGAGACAACATTGTGATATAAGACAACCGCAGCATCCAAGGTACTTCTACCATGTTTGTATGCAAATTGTTTAGGATCATTAAAAGGTTTCAAAGCGGGTTCAAGACGAAGTAAAAGTAATTTTTCCATCAATTTTAAAAAGGGGGAAGTAATTGCAATAGGCCGAAATTTAATATCAGAACCAGAAGATGGTTTTGGTATAGGGATAATTTTAATGTTTTTCCATGCAAAAGGTAGAACGTTACCGGAAAAAGAAGCATTAAAAATGTTAGTAAGAGGATAACACAAAATATCAGCACAATTCCTGAGGACAATGGCAGGTATGCCGTCAGGACCAAGGCTTTGAGAAGGCTTAAGAGACCGGAGACATTTAAGCACATCAAGGGTATTAAAACCACTAAAGTTATTGTCAATATGATTTGTATCATTTGGAAGGGTATCAACAGAAGAGCGTATGAAAGATTTATTAAGAGTGTCAACATTAAGAGATGGAACAGAAATACATCGCTTACCGTTAGTAATTTCTTTGAAAAGTTTCCATAAATTAGAAGGGGTTTTACATGACAAAAATCTTTGATTATATAAAACATTTAGTCTTTTTTTTCCAGTTTTATCAGAATGTTTAACTTTTTTACACCAGGCTTATCATTTGTTTTGAACAACAGTTCTTTATTTCTACGTAGCTTTTTGAGATATGGCGAAGATAAGCGATCAAATCGAATGAATAATGTTTCTTTAGGACAACATATTTCGAAACAGAATTTAAGATAAT